CAAAGATAACAGTTATTTTGTTATGTATAAGGATAACTAAAGACTTATATTTCATAATTAATTAGTTTAATAGAATTTTAATTAACGATTAACTGTAATTTTTTGCGTATGAAAGTCTTTTATTTCTTTAAAAAAAAAATATTTGAAATACTTTTAAAAACTATTTGTATTTTCACTAAAATACTTTTCAATATTGGTATTCGAATTTGTATATTAAATACATTTTAAAAGTATTTTTAACAAGTCTGCTAATGTTGCACTAGTCTTTAGACGACTTATATTTCATAATTAATTAGTTTACTAAAATTTTAACTACGATTAACTGTAATTTTTTGTGCATGAAAATCTATTATTTCGTAAAAAAAAAGAATATTTGAAATACTGTATTTTTATAAGAAAACTTTTCAATATTAGTATTCGAATTTGTATTTTGAATACATTTTAATAGTATTCATAACAAGCCCGCTAATATTTCACTAAATGCACATACAAAATTCAAATAATTTATAAAAATACAAGTGAAATAAAAGTCAATTATTTTTAATCAATATATTGATTACATTTTTAAAATTTATGTATATAAAAATATACAACCATGGATATCGAAATATTATTTAAAAATTGTTAGTTTTTCATTTATTTTTACTAAATAATGTTTCGATAGAAATGACTATTAGCTAGTAGAAATTGAAATATTCTTATTTTATCAATTTTTAAAAATTACTTTTTATTACTGTGGTAGATTTTTATTTAGAAATTAGACCTTAATATCTAGGCTTAATATAAAATATTTCACCTATCTTAAAATTATAATACTTATTTCGGTATCAAATACAAAATAATTATACTCATTTAAGTTCTAAAAACTGTAAAAGTTCTTTTATTTTTAGTGACTATATCGCTAATAAAATAAGTTTATCTAATTAAAAAAGCTAATGAACTAAAAATTAGTTTTACACATACTGTTACTACTACTACTACGCAACATAACGGTGTCTCAACAACAAAACAAATAAATGTCGGTAAAATGTGACCAGACTTACTATCCCATGCAACTACTAATTGAATCATATTTTAGCTTGATTATAAATTCAAGATGCTATGGTGTTTTAAAGTTTGATTTTGTGAAAATTTGGGTATAAATTTATAGTTTTTTACACTTAAATGTAGAAAAATATTTCTGAATTAAGTCATTGTAAAATTTATTCAGATTAAAGATCAGATTTTCCAGTATTGTATTACCTTCTCCGTATTTGTAACTATCATGTGACATTCTATTATTATTATTTNTTTATTCCGGTTAAAAATCAGATTTTCCAGTATTGTATTACCTTCTCCGTATTTGTAACTATCATGTGACATTCTATTATTTTTTTTTTTACAGTAATGTTAAAATCTAAGCAAATATAAATGCTTGCACACTTTCAAAAATGAAAAATACGCGTTATCAAAATAATTTTTATGATTGGTTTCAAAATACTAAGATATAGGGACAATCTTTTTTTGGTGGTCAATTTTATAATTTTAATATGTGAAAGGTCAAGAGAAAACCAAGGTATGTTAATTTTATCAAAATTACAATTTTTGTGATNAAAATAAAAATTTTTGTGATCAATAATTTAAAAGTTTTTTGTGCCAGAAAACAAACAGGTAGGTGAACTGAAATTTGGATTAAAATAATTGAATNATTTGTGCCAGAAAACAAACAGGTAGGTCAACTGAAATTTGGATTAAAATAATTGAGTGTAGGCCAAAATCTTTACATGCCTGGTTCTTTTTCTGTTTTGACTCGACTATTTTTTATTCTATCATTGACTTACTTAATTACATAACATAGATAAATTAGATAAATATTAATTGAAAATATTATATACATTAATTTTGTTCTTATATATATATATATATATATATCTTTNTATATAACATAGATAAATTTGATAAATATTAATTGAAAATATTATATACATTAATTTTGTTCTTAAACATATCCCTTTTTTTATTTTATTTTACAAAAGTTAAAAGACTTACTTAAAAAACTGACCAATAATTTGTTATTCGTTTATCACTAATAAAAATTATAAATAGAAAAATTGTTTAAATTAAAATAATTTGAACAAAAATAAACTAATCTAAAGTTTACACAACGTTTTTTCTTGTAAACTATAAATATAATAGTGTTCGAGCGGATATAAATTAAGTAACACCACAGCAGTGCTATTGAAGTTCGAGGTGAACAACAAATACATAAATTACTATTAGAGAAATATTGTTGAGAATGGCGCGTTCGCTGAAATAAATAAAAGGCAGTTGCCTCTACCCTTTGGTTTTTCACTTAATCAGTTTTTATAATTGTTGAGTATAACAATATTTAGCAAAATAATTTTTTTTAACTAAAAGAAAAATTGAATTTTTCTAAATTGTATTATGAAGCTAGGATTATGAACATTATNGTATTTTTCTAAATTGTATTGTGAAGCTAGGATTATGAACATTATTTTTATAAATTAATAATACTTAGGTTTGATTTTTATTTATTAAATATATAGACATTTAATTTCATCAATAATATATAAAATTACTAAAAAAAATTTTATTTATACATTTTTTATTTCTGAGGCCAATAGGCGCTTATTAAAATATTATTTTTGAGTATTCAAATTATATTTTCTCTATACTCCAAATGGATTACACATCTATATGATAAAACACATAACATTTTATTTTTAATTGGGGGTAATTACTTTTTTACTGAAAGGGCTAAGATTCTTATTGTTGGCACCTCAAAAGAGTGTGGTTCTGGTTGGGATCCCAGTCACCCCCCTTTCAACAATAGGTATGTTAAATAAACTAAATAATCAAATATTTAAAAAAATATTTTAATCCTATAACAATTTTTTGCAGAAGCTCATATTTTAGCTTTGAGCGAAGCTGAGAAGGTATTGGTTTTACTATGATGTGTTTTTTTATTTTTTTTTTTANGCTCATATTTTTTATAATATTTTCGAGTAAAAAATGTTTAATATTTTTTAGTTTTAAATTAATATTTTAAATATATTTTAATTTTAATTCAAACCACAAGTAATTAATTCTTATTATATATTTGATGTGTTTGAGTTTGATAAATAAGTATCCAAAACGATTAAATATTATTATACTAAAAACTTATACTATTATACTTCTTCTTCCTCGCCTTAATCCAAACTACTTGGGGTCACCCTTACTCTAAACTTCAACTTGACAGGACCTCCCACATATGGCATTCAATAGCATTCCTCAATCTCTTTTTTGGTCTTCCTCTACCTCTTCTTCCTTCAACATTCATTTTAGCTTCGATGCGAAGCTGAGAAGGTATTGGTTTTACTAAGATGTGTTTTTTTTTTTTGTGTCTATTACCACTTTTTCTCAGCTCTCACCGAACCGATTTCTTTCAACGATACGTCAAAAGATCACAAATCGTATCTAGTCGAAGACATTACCCTTAAAAATTGAAAAAAATTCCCTCGTTCCCTGTAAATGTGGGAAATCTCCAAAAAAATTACAAATTTAAAAATCGCTAATTTTCGACATTTTTTCAATTTTTTTTACTTAAAACTACCATAACTTTTTCAAAAATGAACAAATCAATATAATTTTTTTTAAAGATGTTTGATATCTTTACCTATCATTTGGTATAATTTTTTTATAAATTTAACCCTTTACCAGCCCACAGGAGAGGATTCAAAATGACAACTTTTTCACAAAAAATTAACTTTTTCAACTTAACTTCTGAAAATGTTCTGCAAAGTCTAACACTTATATATATATATCTTAAATTAAAGTTAATTTAATATACTTTATCATGGAAAAAAAAAATTTCGAACTTTATTTTATCTTCACGGTGAAAATGGCTACCGAATGCTATTTTTGTGTGAACATTTTCGATTTTGTATTTTACATTTTTAACTTTATTTTGCTATAACTTTTTGCGTTGTTTTCAAATCTGCAATTAGACTTTTTCTATCACTTCTATTTTTTTATATTATTACTAATTACATATAAAATAATAATTAAAAGAAAAAAAAATTGTTTTCAAATTTAATGAGGTTTAATTAAATATAAATAAATCTATCTAAAACAATTAAAAAAATTTAAATGTAAAATATTTTTAACATTTAAATGTATAGTTCTACTCCAGTTTTATCATGTACTTGTCGCATAGATAAAAATATATATATTTAAAAAGACGTATTAGAGTTGTATACTGATGGTGATATTGTTAAGTTGTTTTTTTNTAAAAAAATTTAAATGTAAAATATTTTTAACATTTAAATGTATAGTACTACTCCTACTTTATCATGTACTTGTCGCATAGATAAAAAAATATATATTTAAAAAGACGTATTAGAGTTGTATACTGATAGTGATATTGTTAAGTTGTTTTTTTCTATCAAATATTTGTACGTACGCTTGTATTAGTTTTAAAATTGGCTTAATTATGGTTTGTAATTGTTTTATATGCAATCTTAATTTTTCTTAATTAGACGTAACAATAAAATTTGTGTTAGATTTTAAGCATATAGTCAGTGTTATGCACTTACAGACAGTGAGAAAAAATGATTTCTTAAAATATTCAAATGTAGAAATAATTTTGTCTATCATGTCAAAAAGGTTTATGAACTATTCCCGAATTAAAACTACTAATTTCACATTTTTTAGCTGAAATTAATGATCTTAAAAATAGTAGTGTATCCTGTACTAATTTTGAAGAGTTTATAATAAGCGAATTAAATTTGAGTACCTCAAAATCATCTACTTTTAATGTTCTGAAATCTACTACAGATGAAAATGCTGATAGAATTAGACATGTAGACATTAGACAATGAATATTTGGTTTCTAATGTTAGTAGTGTCATTGTCAATGAATCCTCTATCAAGCAATATTAAAATTGATACATTTGGTTTAACATATTACATGTTACAAATTCAAAATCCTGCCCTGACTATTTAAAATTGTGTTACCTACACCATATGATGCATTTAAAATATTAAGAAATACATATAAATTACAATCAATACATACTTCGTTTGTAGTCTTTATCAGTTTTAACTGCACAATTTTTTTAATAAATTACTTGATTTATATACAACGAGTTATATTGTACATTTTGCTATATTTGATCGCTTAAGAAACAAACCCAACTATCTTACATTTTGGTCAAAATGCGTTAGTAATATAATATTTAATATTTCCCAGGTATTTGAATAAGATCTCAAATTTTTTATAAAATCAATAAGCATCGCTGTAATCAAATAATAAAAAATCATCACAAGTACTTTAAATTACATAGAAAACTATTTTTCCTCACCAATAAAATTAACAAAAATGATATAGATGTGTTGCTTCTTAATCAAAGATTTATCGACTATTTTAAATTAAATTCTATGCCAAAACAATAGTTTTTTTCATTATATGAATGTTGAAGTTCAGTTTTTAGACTACTGAAACTTATGGTAACATTTAAAATGAATTACTTAAATTACAATAACTATAAGAAATTAATGTTAATTACTAATTAATAACAATGAATTAATTCACATGTTCTTTTAATTGAGGTCGTTGATTGTATGTTTTTATATAAAACATAATAAACAAATACAAAAATAAAGTGAGATCAGCGATTACGTACATCACAAATAATTTAGGAAACTTGCAATCAAACACATACAATCCTGCTTCATATGTCATTATTATAAGAAATTGAACCTTTAAAAATATAAAATAAACATATTAATACAATAAAAGTTATATTTCAGTAGTATATTTTTAACTAACAATTTGCATACGAGTCAAATACTTTTTCCACCACAAATATTTTTGCATATGAGGTCCTAATGCTGATAAGAAGTAGTAGCTATACATAATAACATGGATAAATGAATTAAGAAGACCACCGAAAAGTAATTGTTCACCTACAAATAAACATGTGTACATATATATTTAAATAACTATATATTCACACATAAAAAGGAAAAATATCATTCAACTTTATCATACTATCTTATTAAATACATCATTTTTGCTCACCCTTATAAATTCTATAAAATTATTTCTCACCTTTTATAAATTTTAAATATGCCCAACATGTTATTGCCATATTTACATGATGATAGACATGTAAAGAGGTAACTTGTGATTGTTTTTTCCTTAAAACGAAGAATACCTGAAAAAGTGTGTAACCAGTAATTTTAAATTTAAATATTAGATTTTATTGTCAGTATTATTTTATTAATATTGTTTGAAAAAGTTACCTTAAAATTCTATGGTTAAGGATATCACATTTTTTTTTATAAATATACATTATTTAGTACAGACAACTTTATTATACACAAAGAATTTTTAAATAATATAAAGAATATTAAAGGATAAAGAATATTAAAAAAAAATAAAAATATTTATTAAAATCGGGATACCCTTTTTTATTAATATAAAACCAAATATTGAAATACAGTTAAAATTATACATTATTTATAACATAATATTTCATTTACCTATCATTTTAAAATACAAAAAACAAACAAACAGTTTTCGTTCCCGTTCAGTGGCGTAATTAGGATTTCACCTTAGGGTAATATACATTAAAAAACTTTTTCACTATCCCATCAAACAAAAAATAATTATTATCATAGTTTATCATTATTATCGTGTTACAAATATATAACATCCATAACCCTGTAATTACGCCAATGATATCCTCTCTCTATATATATATATACATTCATATGGTCATTAACACCTTTTAAATCATTTATAAATAGTATAATTTTATATGATATTATAAAATACTTACAGTATCAAGTAAGTCAATCACTTTGGATATAAAAAAATACCATGACGCTTTATTTAGCTGAAATCGAAAAAAGACAAAAAATTAACAAATACTATATATAATTCATGTCATGAATAAGTAAGTATATTTTATAAAAATAATTATTAATATAATTTCTAAATTTAATCAAGTACCTTCAAAAAATATTTTAGATAAAAATGACCTTTGACATTTGTAAAATGAAAATTATTTTTGGGACATTCTTAAAATTTCCTTGTAAAGAATCGAATTTAAATCTAAATTATTCTAGAAAATACAGTGAACAACATAATCCTTATGTAACGGAAACAAAGATTAAAGAAGCATTTCAACCAATATTAAATTTTTAATCTACATTTAAGCTAATGAAAAAATTTCAATGAATATAATATTTGTAAAAAGCATAACATTAATTTCAGGATAACTGTCCATAAGATTTCAAATGAATTCTTTATAAAATAATGATGTAAAATTAAAAAAAAAAAATATACTGAATGATATATAATTCTCACTATAAATTTTTAAAATAGCAGTCATAACATAATGGACATCTTTAACTAAAATAACTTAAGATAAAAACAATGGCTACAGCATAGTATTTTAAACCAAATATAAAAATAATAACATTACCTCATGCATTAGAAACACATTGGCATTTCTTGGAAGTGGGTTACATAGATACTTGAAATGATAACTGATAGCTCCAGGTGTAATGAAAAACTAAAAAAAAAATTAAAATGTCACTTCAATATTTATTTATTTTTTGAATAATAATAATTATAACTAGTACAAGTACAGTTATTTATTTTTCTAATATTTTTTAAGATTTGTGGTATTATTGAATTTTATATATTTACATTATTCTTACCAATAAAACCATGTAGCCATTGAAAATTGTTTGAATAATATTGTAAAATAACATTACCATCTTCAAATTCAGAGGCTTTCTTTTTTTCATTATCATGGGACCTACTTTTAATACAAATAATAAGTAAATAACTAAAATAGACGATATTGGCCACGGACTTTTCATAAACATCCAAGAGTCTACTTCATCATCTAAAAAAATATCCCTTAGCATTAGTTAATTAAATTCACAGAAATAAACTAGAATCTTTTTTTTACTTATTATTTAATGTAACGTAAAAACATCATAACGTTTAAAAAAATTTAATAAGCTATTTATACATTTTAAATTAAAGTTGATTTTTATAAAATACCATTGTATCAAAAGTTATGACTTTAACATGGTTAAAAAATGATCCAAAAATAAACACTTGTGCTATTTCGTATTTTACCCATAATACTGTAATAAAATTTATTTATTTTCGCTATAGATATTATTTTTTATTTTAATTAAATATTTACCATAAACTAATTCTTGTTTGATCAAATCTATAAAAGTAAGACGCATTTCCTTAAAAAAACTTCCATGGGTTTCGTTTGACATTTTTAACATAAATTAAATTTCATCAAATAAACTGAATTTTACTATATTTAATAAAAATTCTGTTAAAATAATTATTATTTTTACAACTGAAGATTTTCTAGAAATCACTTTTTAATTGAAAAATGTACATATATATTTTACAGTAAATATTAACTAAACAGATATTTGTAATTGAAATCGTTTATATATGACTATCCATCATGATTGTACATTAAGAATGACCCTTTTTCACATTAATTTTCTATTATGCATGAAATCGGCAATTATTATTTTGCGTTTAACCACCTTCTACTAAATTTGAAAGGCAACAAATCATTAATTGATTTTAAGAAAGTGTTTCCAAACAAATCAAATTTAACTGTTTCATAAAATTATTAATTATGATATTAGTGTTATAACGATTAATTAATGAGCAAAGCATGTATATTAAATAAAGCTGTATAGTATTATTTTTCATACCAAAAAATATAAGTTGGTACATCCTAGTAATTATAAGATAAATAAATACTATAATCTTTACTTTATTTATGGAATAGATAGAGTTTTTTATCTAAAGATGATAAGTTTTCCTATCTTTCTAATACAAGTATTAAGACTTAATTTTTTAATAGGCTGTAAAATATAAGTAAAATAATAAATATTTCAGTCATAATTAAATGTTTAACTTGAAAATTGTTGCGTCGCATAAATATTTAGTTAATGGACATTTGTAAAACACAATTTATAAAATAATAAATAATAATAATTATTGATCATATTCAGATATTATTACTTGAAAATCAAAATATACTAATTAGAATTATCAAACTAATCAAAATACCGTTAAAGACCGGTCATCAAAAAGATCCATATGTCAACTTAACAGTTATTCTTTTTACGGTATACGTTTGATTAGCTATTTAACTTTTTCAGAATAACTAATTTGAATAAACATTGATACAATGTTTAGTGCTTGTTTAATGTGTTAACCAATATTTAAAGTTTTTCATAATATGTAATTGAATAATAAAAAATAATTTTGGGTATTACTTTACACAATTAAGTAAAAATTCATAATTTTGTCTTATAAGTCATCAAATAAAGAAAGACAATAAAACTATATATCCTTGAGTATTATCATTGATTTATAAACTTATAAATCAATGACATAACAATTATTTCAGGTAATATTATTATCAAGAAACTTCTAATAGCTAGAATTTTGAAATAAATACAATATATTTCGTGTGTAATTATTACTAACGCTATTTTCATAAAAATTATGAAGTCATTGTACTCCCTCTTGCAAACATAAAGTGTATATAACAATAGATTTAATGAATGTGCTTATATTAATATAAGATTCTCTTTTAGAAATTCTAAACCGTAATAAAGAGAGCATTAATTTTTTCATATTGTGTTGTAAATATCATAATTTTACACTATTTCTAACGTCAATTATATAACTATTTAATCATTATAACAAGGCAAAATATTTTGTACTCGTGTTAATGTTATTTTACTTATTTTGACGATTGTTGAATCGCTTAAACCGAGAATATATAATTGAAACCCTATGATTTTAGGAAACAATTATTGTTGATTAACAGATATTAATTGACAAATTAATCCCTTATTTTCATAACTTACTTGACATTAAACAAAATCAACTGTCAACTGTTCAAACATTTTTAAACGATATGTATTTATAATAGTATTCAGTTTATTAAAATTTAATTAAAATTGATTATTTTTAGAACAAGTTATTATAAACGGAAAATTATTTATATATGTATAGGTAGACAAAATTATGATAAACATATGTTTAATAAATTATTGATATCACAATAAAATATTTATTTTACATAATACTGAAAACAAGGAATTTGTATTTCAATAATAAATAAATATCATAAAAATCCATATTTTATTATTTTTATTTGGTATAAAATTATGACACAATAATATGAAAAATATAAAACACTTATATATATATTTATATATTATACATTACAGAGCTCGACAAAACAATATATATATATATATTAATTATTGTACTAAATTTTTTAGAAGTGGTTTCAAATATTTCATTAGATTTTATCTAGCACCAATAGGTTTGCCAAAATTTAAGCACTTTTTAAATAACTGTACGTAACTAATATTAACCTATTATTTTGAAATTACTATCCTATATATTTTTAGTTATTTATTCAATAAAATTTTGTATAATTTACCTATAAAAAAAATTGGAAAAATTTCAGTATTTTTTAATTATTTTAAAACTCAACCTTTAAATATCATATCAAAAGTGTAACCCTATGGATTGTTTCAAAATTTTGCATTAATTTTCAATTAACTAAAAATATATAGAAGGGGTACCCAAGGAACAAATATTTTAGTCACATTTTGTGTAAACACAAATTATACAAATACTTCATCTGTGGCAACATATATTGACTGCAAAGAAAATCTAATGGTAATGGCACTAGTTAATATACAGTAGCAGGGTTTCAAAGGTATTTTAAATAAAAAATAGAAAAATATATATATTAATAAACAATTTTGGCCCATCAGTATTATAAATCCATCATAATTTAAATATTTAATGATAATAATTCAAATTATTTTCAGGAACAGTTTTTAATCGATACGTTCTTTTCGTTTATTTTCATTGTACGTTTTTCGGTAGAACATTACAAATAAGTATAAGAAAATTGCAATATCGGCAATAATATACATAACAAAAAGCTTATGAAAGTTGCAATCAAATACGTACAAACAGGTTTGGTATGCTATTAAAAGTAAAAATTGTGTCTGTAACAAAAAAAAAAAAATTTATTAAGACTTAATTTACATATACACAAAATCATTCATTAAGAACAAGACACTCATTTTCTTGGTAACCATTGAAAATTTTTAATTTTCGTAAAGGAAAATATTGTTTCATTCATACAACTCTAAAATAAAAGGTTAAAAAAACGATAGCACAGTGGGGTGGAGGCAAAGTGTGGACAAGGCATAGATGGGACAAGTATAGATGATATCTGACAGTGATTAGAATCACTATTATAAGAAACGCTTCGATGCAAGTCTGTTGATAGTGTTTAATTTTAAGAGATTCATAGATCATTTCAAAAGCAACCATAACTCTTATTCCCTTAATTTTATCCCGATTTATAATTATAATATATGAATACATAATAATTATAAAATTAAATTTAGTATGAAATTGATATTCAATTATATAAATATTGTAATTTTATATTATAATACATATATTTTTTTAAACAAAAAGGAGTTGTATATTCATATACTTTTAACGCGTATAAAAATTTAAATGGATTGATGCAATACTTTTTAATAAAAAATGTTTGTTACTTATGAATAAATAAACTGGACTACAAGGAACTTTCATCAAAAGCAAATATATACTTCTCTAGATCAACTTTCGAGCTGTTTTCAAATCTGCAATTAGACTTTTTCTATCAATTCTAATTTTTTATATTATTACTAATTACATATAAAATAATAATTAAAAGAAAAAAAATTTGTTTTCAAATTATTATTGATTTTGATTTTTAATATATTAAAAATAATCAGTCCAAAATTTCATTTTTAATAAATTTTTTGGTTCTTTAAAGATGATGAAAAGTTTTTGTAAAGTTTATCTTAAAAAAAAAAAATAAATATGTTGCCGTAGCTTATAGTTCAACTTNATCTTAAAAAAAAAAAATAAATATGTTGCCGTAGCTTATAGTTCAACTTGCAAGTGTGAAATTGACATTATTAAATAGAAAAAAATGAAATTTTTAAGATTAATATACAATCAGAAAATTTTATAATTACTATTTACAGTAAATTTATCAGAAAAACTCATTATTTTTTTTACATTTTTATCGTAATAGATCACTTAAATAAAAATTATAGTAATCATTTCTAATTAACTTTTGGGGTTGAAAAATATTTTACAATGGAAATATTCAGAACTTAATTAATTACAATGATTTACTTTATCAAAAATAACCAATAAAAAAAAAGTTATTAAAAAGATTTAATTAATTGAGCGTATTATAAAATTTGATTAAAATTGTAAAAATCCATCGTTAAATTCAGGTGGAAATAAAAATCATTTTTTTTTTAAATTTATGACTTGTATAGCAACACGTTACAAAAAATTTGGAATATTATAGACTGATAGTAGCACACACAAATAGAGTTAAAAAATTGCAAAGTAAAATTATTTACTTTTGTAGTTGAATATTCTTATCATATCAAATATAGTTCGATAATAAATACTTTATGAATATTAGAAATGAATGATTTTAATTGTTTGTATGGAAAAAGCTGGTTAAGGAATTTTTTAAGGGTAATATCTTCAACTAACTACGAATTGTAATCATTTGACGTATCGTTGAAAAAAGTAGGTCAGATTAGAGCAGAGATAATAAATGATAATCACAAAAAAATATTTTCTCAGCTTTGCATCGAAGATAAAACTTAAAATATAATAAAATAATTTTAATATGAATAAAAAATTTCTTCTCGCGAGTGGTGACTACAGTGATGGGATCCTTGAGCTTTATTAAAGTTATTGAATCTAAATGAGACAAAAATCAAAAGAGTTGAAAACTTATTCTAACTTAACAAGCATCAAGAAAAAAATGCAAAAAAATTCCTTGCCATAGGTGGGTTGGAATCTTGTACCCCAAGTGCGTCAAACACATGTTTTACCGACTCGGCAACCGTACGTCGCTGTCGTTGGCTGAAAAAGATGGCCATTTAAGCTAGTTCAAATTTCAAAGTTATTTTTCTCGACTTAAAAAAAGCAAACAAATTTAAATAAATTTAACTTTCTATGCTATATCAATATTATTTATATAATATTTATCCAAATCGGTGACTCCCCTTGTCATGTATTTTTAAATAAAATAAAATACAAAACCCAGAATATTAACACAAAAATAGCATATTTTTGAATATGGTAGTCATTTTCACCATGAATACAAGTCCAGAGGTCAAATTTTTTTTTTTTTATAATAATAGTATATTATATTAGCTTTAATTTAAGTTATATATAAAAGTCTTAGTCTTCCGGAACATTTTCAAAAGTCATTTGTAAAAATGTTACCATTTTGAAACCATTCCAGTGGGCTTGT